AGAGAGGTTGCCAGAGCAACTGGCAGAGATGCGCCAGGATCTCTGTTTGACCTGGCTGCCTACAAGTTTGGACGATCAGTCAGGATGATCAGCATTGCACTGTGCTTCCATTGCTGACATTTCAATGCAAACCGCAGCGACGGTATGGGCACCATCAAGGTGGGGCATAGGATAGGAATGTGGTTCAACAATGCTGGCATCCTGGCAGCGTTGCATGCTCTGGCAAGGGATGTGTCAACCCCTCTGAGTGGACGTGCTTTGTCTTGAATGGTCCAGGACAGCACTACATTCGCAAGGCAAGTGCAGTGACAACGCTCCAGGGATTGGCTCAGCACGGCCAGCAGTACCCTCGCGACCTTGCCTGGTGTCTGCTCCAGCAGTCTGTGCTCGAGTCGACTGAAGGGTTGGCTGTGCATGCCAGCTACGTCCGGTGCTGCCACAGGGACCTCTTGGGCCCTAGTGCAGCTCAGACTCGCGCAGCAGAGGATTCAGGTCAAGTTGGTGAAACTCGTGGCAATCGCTGGGACTCTGGAGGCTGGCAAGCGTATGGTTTGAACGATGGCATCGGTGAGTAGTGATGGTGAATGTAGGGGCTGCATACATGCGAGAGAATCATGGCTCACCGTGACTCTCGGTTCTCAACCCAGAGTTGAGCGTCTTGGCATGGCAACGGTTGGACGAAGGATGTAGGCATCTCCAACCTCATTCTCCAGAACCACACCCATCTCTGCCACTTGAATCGCTCAACACCCAATGCTCCTGCAGCCCTACAGAGGGTCATCAACATGGCCAGTTGCACCAGCATCAAGTCAGTCATTGTCATGAAGGACATTACTAAGACTGCAAGCGTCTGCTGATTGCCTTGGCAGGACCATTATCTCTAAACTCAGCACAAGGTGGTCTACACATCCAATTCAACCCTGCTCCTCATCACCGCGAGGCAGTCTTGCGTCTCTTCGATGGAGCTGGCGTGCAAGATGGACGTCCTGCTGCTGTGGGCGAGGTGAATGTAGGCATCGCCAATCTCATCCAACAGAACCATGCGCATCTCTGCCACTTGGATTGCTTGACACCGGATGCTCCTGCGGCACTGCAGAGGGTCATCGACATGGCCAATTGCAGCAGCATCAAATCAGTCATTGTCATGAAGGACGTTACTGCCAAGGATCTGCGCAGCCAGCACCACGATGACTATGGGCTTTTTGGCCTTGGTTGTGGCCAAGGACCAGCCACGTTCCAGCGCCTCCTTGCCCTCATGGACTACAGCCGCAACAAGACCGTGTACGATGGAATAGATTGACAGAGAGCAACACCAGCCTACACCCGACGCCATGTGATCGACTTTTGGCCCCATGGCCCCAATCATAGCTTGATCTTGCTTCATGCAGTCATGTGTGCTTGACTGTTGATCAAGTTCAACGCGCCCGTCGTCCAATTCACCTCGACATCCGTCATCTGGATCATGTGCAGCTGCATCAACAAGATCCTTCGTGACGTTGCGTGAGAAGTTGGCGCTCATCTCTTGGCGGATGTGCTCACTGGCATTTGATCCATCGCTGATCTAGGCACTGACATCTTTGCCTGCGGACATGAGAGGAATGTGCGCTGGCAAAGGGAAGCAGGACGGGCACAGCGCTTCATGGTGGATCTCTGTAGTACAACACGCTCCTATTTGATCACGCTGAGGAGCAGTGACAAAGTCCTTGTTGACTACCACTTCTTGGCCAATCTCACTGCCCATGAAGGGGTCCCCAAGTACTCGCCAGACTATGCAAAGGATTGGAACTTGCTCATGTACCTTTCCAATGCTGTGTCCCGTGCTGCTGAAGACGTCCAGAATTGGCAGCTTCTTGAGGGCCTTGTGTGGGAGTCTGGAGTCGCCTCCCTCATCGCACAGACGCGCGATCGCCTCAAGAGGTTGTTTTTGGTCCAAGGGTTCATCTTTTGGCGTGCGCAAGACGAGGGGACCGACGAAAGCGACGATAACAACGATAACAACGATAGTGACGATCACCCCAACGCTCCTGATGACAACCTCCACGACAACCACCACGCTGATGACCCAAATAATGGTGATGACGACCATGTTGACGGTCACAATGACGACGGCAATGACAACAACTCTAACGATCCTTATCATTATCAAGGTCATGACGGCAATGATGGCCATAACGGCAATGACGATGACAATAATGGCCACCTTCACGATTTTCACG